CAGAAGTTCCTACAAGCTCCGCATCTGACGTGGTCCACAGTCACTTAGCGGCATGTACTCATCTCCCGCCCCTACACTGCTCCACCGATTCCTGCCCCTTAGTTAGCCTTCTCTTATCGACCCCAGTCCCCCCCCTACTCCCACGACTCATTCGTACAAAAAGACGAACACGTTTGTCTTTGTACCCCGTTCCCATATAAGTGTATTGGCCTGACGATAACTTATCCAAGGCATACGAAAGCACACCAAAATAGTTTCCTTAATAACTCTTTGTATGCTTTCCAATATACCAGCTTGTCGGATGGCTGTTACTGTTAACAAGACTTCTAGTGAATTTCAGTGTGTGTGGATAGAATCGGGACACAGTGGACGCCCACGAACGACAGGGTGCCGGCCCTAAATATAAGAGAGCTACACTGCCAAGAACCTCCAGTGCGCTCGAATATAACACTCTAGCCTTAGGCCCCACTGTTGCTCAGAATGTTGCCCGCGCGGCGTTGGCTGCCAATATTTTCTAACATTTTCTAGTCATAATGCAATGACCAACCAAATATTCCGGTACAAATAGTATTAATATATGTGCTTCGCCGATCTAGTAGATCAACAGTTAAGTTCCGCTTCGCCCTGGAGCTCACAATAACAGCCCGCGTAGGCAGTCACATAGTGACTAACGAGACAGGAGGAGGAAACGGATCCGACAAAGCAAAGGAGGACGGAAGGGCCATTTATGGCTTATTAGCCGTCATCAGCCAGTCATACTCAATTTCAAGTTTTGTAATCCCCTAGATTCGAACCGGGAACCGGTCTCAACCGACAAAGTAACGAACCCGTTGTGCACTGGTAAAGTGGTAAACTAAATTACCAAAGCTCCCGGGTTCGAATCTCGCGAATTCCAAATCTTGAGATTGGGTAGGACTGGCTGATGACGACCAACAAGCCACAAACAGTATTCCTCTCAGGCTGCACGCCTACCGCCAAGATCCGAAAATAAGATCATAGGCAAAGCGGGACGAGTGAATTTCGTTAGGGATCGGTGAACGCCCATCAACGAGATGAATATCTCGTAATCTTAAGTGGCAAGACAACGAGCTCGTCGCTCGATAGGTAGACATGTGATAA